CTAGAACAAATAAATAAATTTAGGGAGAATGGTCATTTTAACAGTAGCAAGCCTCCATAATAGGGAAATTTGCAATTTAATCCATAACTCTGAGTCCTTTTTAACCTTTAGTAATTTGCTATAATTATTTTCCATTAGAGTTTTACAATGAGCTGTCAGCCAGATTCCTAGGTATTTAATTTTTTTTACCACTTTTAGTCCCATTGCCTTTTCCAATTCTAATTTCTGTTTTTCTGTTAGGTTTTTAGTTATTAATTTTGTTTTTTCCCCCTGTTAATTTTAAGTCCTGCAACTTTCCCAAATTGATCTACCTCTTTCAATAGTTCTTGACCTGTTTCAACTGGATCCTCTATGAAAAAGACCATATCATCCACAAATGACTTCAGTTTATATTCTTCTTTCTTAATTCTTAACCCCTTTATTCCTGGATTCTGTCTAATTCGTGTGAGCAGTGTTTCCAAAGATAATATGAAGAGCCGGGGAGATAATGGACATCCCTGCCTAACTCCTTTCTCTATTTTTATTGAGTGCGTATACTCTCTGTTAATTATAATATTCGACTTTTGTGAGGCATAAATTGTAGTCACGATGTTTTCAAATTTAGGAAATTGCTGGCATTTTAACCCCCCTGAGTTGTGGCCGATCGTGTTCCTTGCCTTGCTAGATTCGTTAGTGATGTTATATGTCTATAGACAGCTTAGTGGAAAGACCAGGCGTGGGGTATCAACGCCTTCCATATATATATTGTTCATAATTTGCTATGGGCAAGTTGATTTGAATCCTATTTCATGAAAAGCTATTTACCGTATTTATCGGCGTATAACACGCACTTTTTCCCCCTGAAAATAGGGGGCAAATGATGTATGCGTGTTATACGCCGATGTCCAGGGAGCGGAATCCTCTTTAAGGGATCCCGTTCCCAATAGTGCCTAGCGGCGGCGCAGCGTCGTGACGTGATGTCAGCGCTGCGCCCGCCGCATATTTTTTTCCTGAAATTTCCCTCTTAAAGGGAATGCGTGTTATACGCCTGTGCGTGTTATACGCCGATAAATACGGTATATTACAAATATTTATAATATTTAAAGAGAGCAGAACTGACTCTCTGGATGTTGTTGATATACAGTTACAATCAGAATGGTCAATGATGCAGCATCACACTAACTGGTGACCTAAAGAGCCACTGCTGCTGCACAGTAAACAGTAAACCTGAGCAGGCTTTATTTTAAAGCATATCTGCCCTGTAGGCTTAATAGTTTTCTTCTCATTCCAGGATATCACATGACAATCAAAATCTTTCCACATTTATTTGAAGTATCTCTGGAACGAAGTAAGCATACATCTTGTTCCTAAACAAGACTAATTCCAATATGGATTTGTTGGGATTAATATTAGGGTATTTTTGGCTCTTGGTCTTCGCTCAGATACATCTGGTGTGTCATTTGTATTCTATCATGGATTAAGAGACTTTTCCCACTGTTCCTAAGTCACTTTGAATATAGATAACTGCAACACATTGAACATATGGTTACCCTTGAAGACCACTCAGACACTAAAACGGATTCTGAATGTATCATCATAAATAACTATTGGAATCCCTTACTTTGCTTTGCTTTGACTCCTTTACTTTCTGTGTTGCACTGGTTATTAGTTGGCTTCTGGTACAAGTATTGGTTGTTATTCATAAGGCTTTTCATTATGTGGGATATGATTATCTGCAAGACTGCTTCTCTCTGATTGAGTCCTACCCATTTGGTAAGATCTAGTAGGAAGACATGGTTTTGTGGTCCCATCACAAAAGAACTGCACCAGAGATGGGCCTTCTCTGAAGCCATTCCTACTGTGAGGATTAGCCTTAGTCAAATGAGTCACTGAATGCCCAGATATAGGAAGACATATAAATGCCCCCACAAAAAAAGCTGCCAAGCATTGAACTACTATGCTAGAAATGGACAATCCTGAATAGAATTTACACGTCACACAGCATCTGCCAAGACTCTCTGTTTAAATGGGACATCTACTCAGTGTGACTGAGCGGTCCCTTGTCAAACTATAGATCATACTGTGACTGGCTGTAAGGCCAGGGCATATACAGTCCGGTATCTGATTTTTTTAAATGTAAATGATGCTGCGCTTCAATAATTAGATGGCCTAATCTAAGGTACCGTGTTTCTCCAACAATACGGCCTCCACCAATAGAAAGGCCCAGCATGATTTCTAGGCATGAAGTGAAATTAAGCCCCTCCCCCACCATTTCCCCACCATTTCTCACATCGTGCGTTTCCCCGCCATTTCTTACATCGTTCATTAGAACTACACAAGGTGAAGAGAAATGGGGGGGAAGGGCGGGTGGGAGAAAACTTGCCTTTAGGAGTGCCCTGCAGGTAGCCTAGGCTAGAATACCCCGATAGCTGATAGAAGCTCCCTGAAGGCAGAGTCCCCAGCCGCTTCAGGGCGTGGCATGGTTGCCCGTGTCCCCTCGCCTTTAGGCAGTCTCTTTCGGGCGATGGAAGCTCCCCAAGTGCAGTCACCAGCCACTTTGATCAGCCGGTAGAAGCGGCCTCGCAACGAGGGGAGTGTGTGAGTGCGCTCACCCTGAGGCCACTTCTACCGGCCGATCGAAGTGGCTGGTGACTGCACTTGGGGAGCTTCCATTGCCCGAAAGAGACTGCCCTAAGGTGAGGGGACACGGGTAGCCACGCCACGCCCCGAAGCAGCTAGGGACTCTGCCTTCGGGGAGGTTTCATTGGCTGATAGAAGCGGCCTCGTGGTGAGGTACGTGTGTATGGACCGCTCTAGGTGGGGAGGAAATTAAGTCACCCCTGAAAAGACGGCCTAGCTGTTTTTTCGGGGGTCAAAAAAAATAAGGCCCGGCCTTATTTTGTGAGAAACACGGTACTTTGTTCAAGACATAAAAAATTTATTTATTCTAGATATATTAATTTATTCATCAGAGTACAGCAATTGTCACATCTCTGTGAGAACTATATCAAGAAAGGATATCCTTTTTAACAGGAACTTAAAAGTAGAAACAATTTAAACCATCATTTAAGTATGTTTTATGATAATGTAGGAAGTTAACATCCACCCCTCTCCTCGAAAAATGAAATATCCTGGGAAATATTAAAAAGGCAGAATTTTTCCTCTAAAAAGAGTAGAAACTCAGAAGCAGAAACTCACCTCAGAAGCAGAAGCTCACCCCCACCTTTGTTAATGGGTGGGTCATTGAGGCCTGGGCCAGAATACTTTACATAACAAAGATCTCCAGGTAAAGCTATAGCAATTGCTCAAAAGCCCTTTCAGTGCATCATCATCCAGTAAGGCTCAACCAAGCCTGGAACTTAGGACAGCCTACAGAGGTGCTCCTGCATGGCCTCATGGGAATCTGACAACCAATTAGAAACAAGCTTCAATTCAAATCCCAACAAAGGTTATAAAACCCAGGCACTCTCAGCACCTCAGCCTTTTTTTTTCTTGATCTCTTCCTTCACCTTGAAGCATGTGATCATCCTTCCTTTTCACTCTGGAGTTTCAAGCCATGTGGTCCTCCTGTCCACCATTAAAACTTCCAAATAGCCTCCATGTTTCCAGTGTCGTTTTCCCCACTTGGAACTGAACCCAGAAGGATTTTTCTTCTAACAATAATTTTCTTCTTTAATCAGCTTCTGAAAAACTAGGGAAAGGCTCTGTTTCCAAAGTCTTATTCCTGTTAAGCAAAAGAGCAATTACTGCAGGGTTTCCTGAGTTTGTTTAATATGGTTGCAATTTTACAGATAAAGATATACATACATCATTTCACATTTTTCAATTATTACTCTATTTTGTCAAAATTCATTTTATATTAAAAGAAAAAAATCCCAAAGCTGAATTAATCTCATATATTCCATTTTCATGAACATGTACATTTTTGCACATACCTTAACTATTTAAACTTTCATGAACATATTTGATGCTTTGATTATAGCTTACCCAACATGTTTGTGCTACAGCAGGCTTCACAAATTATACCCTTTCACCTGAAAAAACACCTGGAACAGCTCCATCTCATAACCCATTCTAGCATATCACTTTCTCCTTGTTTACAATCCTCCAGAGTTGAAGATCAGCAACTGTATTGTTTGTTCAGAATTCTAAAGAAGCTTAACTTTCAAACTACAGAGAGGGGCAAAGAAGCTGAAAACAGATTAATGGAATTCAGCTGGATAGTATTTCCTGTCCCCCCCACCCCACCCCCACCCCCCCCACAGCTTTATTAATTAGAAAATGCTATTTTACTACTTTCAATTATATCAAGTGAAGAAAGAGAATTGCCAAATGAAATACAGTCTAAACTCCATATTAGAAATCAGAGTATCTTATATATTCGGACATCTACTGGTGCGCTGCAGAATAAGGAGGGCAAAAGAATAAAATGTTTCTTTTGAAGAAATGGCAAATGAAATCTAATAAAGGAATAATAGATTTTCATAAAGTGTATACATCCTAATTCCAGAATCTTGAATGCAGCAGTATAAATGTCTCTGGATATCATCTGACAATTTTTGTTTGATGACCAGCAATCTCTGTCAGTTCACGTGGCAGCCATACTGCTCACACATAGTGCACTCACAATTCCAAATTATCACTAGCCAGAAAGGTTGAAGAGACACCTGTCCTAATTTACACGCATAAAAACATAATCACTTCAATTGAAATAGAAGTGGGAAATGTATTCAGGTGATCAAAGTGTAAGCTCAAGAAATCTCAGGAGAAATCTTATCATATTGGTGGTGAAACAGATGTGGAGTCTAATTTGAGATTTAATTCTAAAGGTGTTCTACATAGGGCACAGCAGGTAAACCTGGGCTTCATAGATTAGAGGCTGAAATGTGCTTTTCTGGCCTTGGACTCTCTAACTTTAATGTAGAAATTTCATCAACCATTTTCCAAAGATAAATATTTGCCATTGTTACTTCAGTGTTACTGTTTGACTATTTACAAGGTTCACTACAAAGAGAGGTCCTTCCAAATTGACATTTTTATTTTTCTTCCAACATGGGGAAAGGTATCCCATGTTACATTTTACTGGGCTTGATTCCTGCTCTTGTAACTTCAGATATTTTGATAAACCCACTGAGAAACATTAAGGTATGTAGCTAAATATATGAAGTCATCAACTTATTTCCTCAGAGTTCTTTTAGCTTTAAGCAACAACTGGAAATCCACTATCTCGATCCTTCAAGATGTCCAGCTTTCTGCCTGCGTGATTCGAGATACCTGTATGCTTAATTTGACTGAAATTCTAAAGTTCATTGAAACTGGTTGCCTATGAAATTTCATGCCATAAGCTGCCTGGCTCAGATGTACTGCATTTGAATATGAATCAGGCAAAGTTATGCTAGCCTATGACAATAATAAAAATTTGATTTGAAGCCAGTAAGGTGCTTTGGTCACTCACTACGCCTCTCAGCAATTCCCATGACATCTTTTATGAGTGGTTGATAGGTATTCTGAGAGGGACCATGTTGGATCCAGACTTGATTTAGCTTCTTTGGATTCATATGCTGCACATCATGTTGCGTATTTCAACAATTTTGGGAGAAACACTGAATTGAGAAAGAATGAATCAAATAAAGCAAGCAGTACTTGCATCTATGTGTGTGTGATTGTGGGGTGTTTGAAAGGGATGCAAGGTGGTACATACATACATACATACATACATGCATGCATGCATGCATGCATACATACACACATACATACATGAGAGAGCGATCCATCACACCTGGGTATATACCTAACTTATCTAAATTTGAACTGAGGCAGTTCCACAGACATGGAAAGAATATGAAATCAGCCTAGTACTAAGTTCCTCTGAAAACGCTAGAAAAACTCTATTAGGTAAAGGTATTTATCTTAGTTAGTATGGTAATTTATGCCATATTTTCCAGATGTTTCTTGTTTTCTGTTTATGTAATTAATGTTTCCCAATTATTCAGGTTGGTAAACTGGTAGGGATTTGTTCGGTCGGAACCCAGCCAAGGTTATGCATGCTGATTATTCAGACTTCATTTTACAGAAGCTCTCATTTATTGTGATGCTCTCCCTTAAAATGAAAAGAAATGTGGAATAATATACAACTACTATGCAACATATTTGGTAGGATACAGCATCTGTTGTTTGGCAATAATTAATCGTTTTTTTCACTGTTTATTTGTAGAAGAGAAGTGCCACTGATGTGGTAAGTAACCTTTCATTTAGAATGCTGATCATTAAGTTTAGACGGCACATACAAAATACAAATATTTTCTCTTAGTCATTTGTATCTTCATTGCTGGGCTTAAAGATATCATTTCCTCAGCTCAAAAGTTATATTTATTTCTTCAAAAATCAGTCCTCTTGTGTTCAGGGATGTTTTAATTCTGAACAAATGGCGTATTTCATTCACTCTTGCAAAGTACCTGTCATGTGCAAGTGTGCAAAGGCCGCATCACACACTTTTATGAAGGTGATTACCTCATGCATGGATTCAGGGGGTAACAAATATCTGTTTGCATTCCTTTTACAGAAAGAAAGTAAAATGTTTTAGAAATTTGTTCTTGTTTTCTTTCCCTATAACAATCATTTCTTAAAAACACAATACAATAATGGAATGGAACAAGAAAATGATTGGGGTCAGCTGCAATTTAATTAAATTTTGTAAGTAACTAAAACATTCATCAAATGTAATTAGCACTAAAGTAAATACTATGTGTGTAATGTGAGGTACAGAAAGATCTTTGTGTTATCTCAAATAAACGTGTATAAAATAAAAATAATATATTAGCAGCACATTTCTGTATAACCATATGACTTTTTTATTCTCTAGCACACCCAACCCATAGAAATCTACTGGGTGAAAATTGACTGCAGTGTAACTTCCAGGTTTTCCCGTAATGTCATCACTAGTCGAGCTGTGAATCGTGCCAATGTGTCCAAGGAAGCTCAGTTTGATGTGGAGCTCCCCAAAACAGCCTTTATTTCCAACTTTACTTTGTATGTACATTATTTTCTTATTTGTCTATGCTTTGGAGATCAGTCTAAAAATAACTAAGCCAGTCAGATGCTGTAATAGAATAACTACCATGAATCATAGAGCTGCAGTTGTAACCATCTAATGCAATTATGTGCTCAAAATAGGAAAACTAATGCCTTTCTCACAAACATTAGCCTTATCTTCATTCTTTTTAATGATCATCAAAAATGTGGCCTCTTCTTGCATAAGCTCCTCTGAAATAGACTTGCCCTCTGGGCAGACTTTTTATCCATCTGCCCTGCAATGTCCAGAGAAATTCATACAGAGGCAGCATTTTTTCTAGCCTCCTCATTATACCTCTCAAATATCCCCTTTACTTGATGAACTGGAGAAAAAAAACCGTACAAGACATCTTTGCACATATTTTCAAATATCTGATGTATCCTTCAATAGGACAATTGATGGGGTCACTTATCCTGGAATCGTAAAGGAGAAAGAAGTTGCCCAAAAGCAGTATCAACAAGCAGTTTCAAGGGGCCAGACTGCGGGGCTTGTGAAGTAAGTACGTGAGGCCAAACCGAATTTGTTTCCTTATTTCATTTCCTATCCTAAGTATTTATTCAATAAACAGATGCTCAGTAACTGAACAAAGAGCAAAAGAAAGTATTAAATGGTGGGCTATATTATTCATCATCAGGATATGTAATTGTCCTTTTATGGCTCTCTTGAATCTTATGAATCTTACCTTACTGTGTTTAACATGTGAAGGGCTGCTGGAAGAAAAACAGAGAAATTCAGTGTTTCGGTCAACATTGCATCATCCAGCAAAGTTACTTTTCAATTGACTTATGAAGAACTCTTGAAGAGAAAGTTTGGAAAATATGAGATATTTATCAAAGTAAATCCAAAACAGCTTGTCAATAAATTTGAGGTAGGATCAAATGTATAGTCACTTTATCTTGTAGTAGTTTTTGGAAAGGTTTGTGAATTATGCTCAGAACTATTAATTTAGAAACAAATGTATAAATAACTGAAATTAATTCTTTTTTAATGCTTTGTTTACACTTTTCATTACTGGTCTATCTGATTTTTAATGTTGATATAATTTTAAATCAATGTTACAGATTGAAGCAAACATCTTTGAGCCTCAAGGCATCAGTGAACTTGAAGTTGAAGGGACATTCCTCAACAACGAACTGCTACCAGTTGTGAAAAAGTCTTTTTCAGGAAAAAAGGTATGTCTGGTAGAATCTTGAAGAGTGATTCATATGCAGGTAATCCTTGCCTAATGACCAGTGGGATGGCAATAGGGACTGCCAGGATTTTGGTTGCTAAGTGTGTTGTGTAGCAGTGGGAATCCCAGTCCCAATTACCATTGTTAATTGTGAATTAACTATAATGAGATGGAAGAATGAGTATCTGCCATGATCAGGGTCACCACCTTTGCTGCAGATTCCTTTGGTTGTAAGTAAGTACAGAAGAGGCCAATTGGATTCATAAGCATCAAACGAAAATTACAATGGTAGCAGGTCTTATGACACCATCCAGAAGCAAAGAAAAGAAAGAATGACCACTTGAATATATTTCTTAAAAGCAATCCATTTGCTTCATGTTAGCTGACAGGTTGTTTTGTCCCAGTCAGGGGTCTAGGTGAGACATGCCCAGGACAATCACAAAACAAAGATGCAGGCACAGAATTATTTGAGGATACTTCACAAAAGTAAAAGTAGTTCCTAAGCATTTCCCGATATCAGGGATAGGCAATATTTTCCTAGAAGAGCTAAAGAACTACACTTACAAAAAATAGGTGGGTCAGAATGAAAAACTAAGCAAAGACTCAAAAAAGTAGATGGAGCTGAACCTAAATAATAATATTGAAAATATTTAAGTCTTATCATGTCTAATCATCTCACTTTCAAAGTGTTTCTGCTTTGCAGTATTTTTTAAAGTTGAGGTAGATAGCTTATTAAAAAGAATGTGTTTACAGAGAAACAACAAAGTCAAAATGTATTTCTCATTCTTGCATCTGGTGTATAGACAAGGATTAAGACTGCTCCTTAAAAAACATGTGATTCAGTCCATGGACACTCTTCTGTAACTTGAAAAAGTCTATCTTTTTCAAGTTTTTTGTTTTTCTTTACATATGGGTATTGAGCAACATTCCTCTTGAAGCTGCTCTGAGATTGAGATATTTAATAAGCTAAATGAAACTAATGAAGAATATTATTATGAAAGTGTGTTTCACTGATGCTACAAAGATTCTATTGTAATCTTTGCCATGTTTTGGGGATTATATATTGGCAACCCATCTCAGCTTTTACAACAGTTCATTTAGTGACCATTCAAAGTTACAACAACACTGAAAAAAGTGACTTACCATTTTTCACAGTTATGACCTTTGCAGCATCTCCATGTTCATCTGATCAAAATTCAGATGTTTTGCAACTGGTTCATATTTATGACCATTACTTTGTCCCAAGGTCATGTGACTACGTTTTGTGACCTGACAAGCAAAATCAATGGGGAAGGCAAATTTATTTAATACCCGGGTTACTAACTTATCAACTGCAGTGATTCATTTAATGACTGTGGCAAGAAAGGTCATAAAATGAGGCAAAACTCAATTAACAAATGTCTCACTCAACAGCATAAATTTTGGGCTTAATTATGGTCGTAAGTGGAGGACTACCTGTACTTCAATTCATCTTTGTCTTTTATGGGTGGATTGTACTGGAAATTGCAAACATTATTAATTCTTCCCAATGTTTCTTTGTTACTCCAGCATGGAGAAACATGCTTCTGGTCATTTGCATTACTTTTATTGTTTATTTAGTTTTATTTATTTATTTGATTTGTCAATCACTTACAAGATAATAGGTATAAGTATAAACATAGTTATGAATACATGAAATTGATACATATAAGAAAAATAAAAAGAAACAATAGGACAGGGATGGTAGGCACATTGGTACACTTATGCACACCTCTTACAGACCACTTAGGAAAGGGGTGAGGTTAACAGTAGACAGTCTAAGGTTAAAGTTTTTAGCGGTTGGGGAAGAAACCACCGAGTCAGGTATGGTATTCCAGACATTGACCACTCTGTTGCTAAAGTCGTATTTCCTGCAATCAAGTTTGGTGTGATTAACCTTGAGTTTGTATCTATTGTGTGCTCTTGTATTGTTATGGTTGAAGTGAAGTATTCATTGACAGGTAAGTCATTGCAATGTATGATTTTATATACTATACTTAGATCAGACTGAAGGCAGCGTAGTTCTAGGTTTTCTAGGTCTAGAATTTCAAGTCTGGAGGCATAAGGTAGTCTGGAGGCAACGAGTAGAGGAGTGGAGAACTCTTCTTGTGAAATATTTCCAGACTTTCTCAATTATGTTAATATCAGATACGTAATGTGGGTTCCAGACTGATGAGATGTATTCAAGTATTGGTCTAGCAAATGTTTTGTATGCTCTCGTTATTAGTGTAATATTACCAGAGAAAAAGCTACGTAGGATTAGGTTAACAACTCTTAATGCCTTTTTGGTTATGTAGTTACAGTGGGCTCTTTGCCATTTGCCATTCTGATACATAGTTGAGGTCTTTTTGAAGGGTAGCAGTATTGTCTGTGGTGTTGAATAGCTTTACATCATCAGCAAAGAGAACGCAGTTGCTCTTGATATGATCACAGAGGTCATTTATGTAGAGTATGAAGAGAGTTGGTCCTAGAACACTGCTTTGGGGACACTGACAGGTACATAATTTGATAGGATGCTCCCAATTTTGACCATTTGTTGTCTGTTTGACAGGAATGCTTCTAACCAGTTATGCAGTTGTCCAGAGACCCCATAAGATTTTAGTTTTAGAAGTAGTTTGTCATGTACCACTGAATCAAAGGCTTTACAGAAGTCTATGTAGATTGCGTCTATTGCTTTGCCCTGGTCGAGTTTTTGCAGTGTAAGAGTTACAGGTTACAGGATAGTTTTTTCTGAAACCAAATTATTTATTAGAGAGTAGGTTGTTTGGTGGAGAATAATGGATTGGTTAATAATTGATTCCATGACTTTACAGGTGACACAACATAAAGAGATTGGTCTGTAATTTTCAACTAGGCTGGGGTCTCCCTTTTTGAAGATGGGGATGACTGTGGCTTGTGACCATAGTTTTGGCAAGGAGCTGATCCTGAAAGATTTTTAAAAGGTTATGCTTAGAGGTTTGGCTATGGCAGTGGATAGCTTTTTAAAGAAGTAGGCACATATTCCATCCGGTCCAATAGATAGAGATGGTTTTAGATTGCGTAGTGCTTTTTCAACATTGTCTTCTGTAAAATCTATATGTATTAGATCAGGCTTGTCCAACCTTTCACCTTCCCTGGGCCACATTAGAAGATGAAAATTTGGTTTGGGCCGCACATAAAATAAAATAACAGTACCGATACCTGATCATCCAAAAAAACCATAGAAACCATAGTTAACATATTAAATTTATTTGGAAATGAAGTTAGTGAGATTGTTTGACATTGTTTCTCAGCCACCAATGCATCCATATTTGCTTCGATGGAACTTGTTGCAATTTTCAGTGAGTGCTCAAGGTGCTCATCAGATATTTTGGTTCTAGTTTTATTCTTTGTGTGCTTCATCCTTGAAAATAGCTGCTCACAAATGTAGGTGCTTCCAAATAGCGATGACATGAATAAGGCATGATTGTGAAGTGAAGGATATTTTTCTCTGGGAAGATATATCTTATAGAAGTCCATTAAAGAGACACGGTCAAATTTTTCTTTCAATTGAATGTCAGATTGGAGCTCTATGCATTCCATTTGCAAATTGGCAGGTAATATATTAATGTCCACTGAAAATAGAGTTGCAAATATCAGAAAAGATGGCTGATTTTTTCTAAAATCTTGAAACCTGTTCTGAAATTCCTGTACCAAATTGAAAAGCAAAGCTGCATATTTTTCCGTGTTCACAGAGGCGTGTTTAGCCAATGTGCTAAAATGCATCAAATTTTGGAATGTAAAAATAAAGGACTTTTAGAAAGCTTGGTTTAATAATCAGTGTGATTACTATGTGCATTATGCTACAGATTTCCCTTTCAAATTAATGGGAAGTGGAATGCAATTGGATTTTGATGCAGAATTCCACAGCCAATTTTGTGTCAAAATCCGTTGTGTGAACCCAGCCTTAGTCTCCTGACTACCAGAAAGTGGCACAGGCCGCAAGATGGCGGAGCTAATATAAGATGGCGGAGCTAATATAATGGATGGGGCGCAGGGTTGCCAGGTCGCAGTTTGGCTCTGCGGCCAAACTCAAGCCAAAATATGGCCAAATTCAGCCAAATTATTTTTTATCACGGCCAAATTTTCCGGCCAAAGTTTTTTCATAAGATATCATAAAAAATAGTCAACCAGGGAGAAAGGAACATTGGGGGGAAGAAAGCTCGCCCGCCTCGTGCCTACCTCTCCTCCTGCAAATGGCCCAGCTGGATGCGGCAGGACTGGAAGGCGAGGACCGGGAGGCTCGGTGCAGCAGCAGCGGCGGGGGCGGCGGGGGCAGAGGCCGCGGCGGGGGCAGCGGTGGCAGCAGCGGCAGCAGCGGCGGTGGGGGCAGAAGCCGCTACAACAGCTCTGGCGGCAGCAGCGGTGGCGGCAACAGCAGGAGGTGGCGGAGCGGGACTCTTGTGCTGCAGCTGCCTCGGCACAAGGAGCGCTCTGAACGCACCCGCCTTTTCTGTTGCTGCTTGGCGTGGCAGTTGCCTCGCCCCGCCTCACGCCTGCCTCTCCTTCTCCTCCTCGCTGGCTCGTCCTCTTGCACGAAGGTTGGGGTGGGCACTGGGCCTCATTGCGAGCTGACCTGGGCCGCATGTGGCCCACGGGCCACAGGTTGGACAAGACTGTATTAGATCATTGTAGTTTTCTGTGGTTCGGCTAGGAAATACTGGGCATGATCCATTGCTGTTTACAAATACTGAGCCAAAGAATGTGTTAAAGAGGTTGGCTTTAATGGTGTCGTCGTTGCAGTCTTTACCATTAGGTTCTATCAGGGGTGGGATGGACCTTGAGTCTTTTAGTTTGTTGCTTACAAAATGGTAGAAAGCGCAGGTGAAATTGGTGCGTAGAAGGTTTTCTTCTTGTTTAATGGGATAATTGGTGCATTCAGTCTTTATCTGGTGGCATAAATTTTTGTATCGGCTTTTGAAGTTGGCAACGTGACCAGATTTGTTTTTCCGCCAAAATGATCTCTTTTTGGATTGAAGCTTCCTTATTGTTATGGGTAATTTGTTTTTTGAGAGTTGTTATTGGTACATATAGTTTGATGATTCTTTTGACTTCAAGTAAAAATATGTTGTACTGGTCTTCAACAGTATTGCATCCAGTGACTAGAAATTGCCAATCAAGGGATTTTCTTCTCTGCCATATCATTTTGTTATGGGATATTTGGAACTATTTTTTCATATTTTATCATCTCTCCTCTTGACTACTTCTCAACTTCCTTCCCTGTGTTTTTATTTCTACTATTAAGTGTGCAGTGTCTTAGGCTTTCTTCCATTCTTGCAAAATATATTCCTTTTGCTTTTCCAGAGATTCTCCCTTGTTCTTTATCAAGGTAAGTCAATACTTTGGAAAAGTGATGGACATTAGGTAATGAAAACGTTCCCCTATATTTTAGCTTCCCAAGTTCCTGAACAGAATTCCAACTACAGAGAAGATTTTTCTATATTTTCCATCATTTAGCAGTTCAATAGAGTCAGATCTCCTTGCTGGATTCATGACTTTCTGCCTGCTTTACAGACTGACAAACTGTTTTGTTCCTGAATATAAATTACTCTCTCCTCTTAGCCAACACAACACTGTTGGGAGGGGGGAGGGGATAAGTAATGTATACTCAGTGCAGGATCCTATGCAGTGATAAGTCAGTGGCTTCAAAATGGCGAGCAACAATCAGACAGTCAAAGTCTTCTTCCTTTTGACTTGGTTTTGTAGAAAGAAATCTGGAAGTTAGTTTGAATGAAATGCCAATAGACTTTTTATTGAAGAACATAAACAATGCTTAAGCACAGAACTGGTAAGGTGTGTCCAGCCTTATGGTAAAAAAATATGAATAAAATTGGTGAAGAAGAAGGAGATAAAAGTAATAAATATTATCATGCAAATATGACAAATGAATGGGTGTGTGTGTGTGTGTGTGAGAGAGAGAGAGAGAGAGAGAAAGAGAGAGAAGCAGGCAGGCAGGTAGGCAAACAGACAGACAGACATAATGCTGATCATATAAGTGTAGCCAGTAAGAGGCAATGCAGAGTAAGATATGAAGAGTAATCCTTCTTAGACAAGAAAAGGAGATAAAAATGCAATGCTCCACTGCTAGTTCCTTGCATTCATTGTTCCTACAGATGTAGAAAACTGGTACGTACTATGTTGGATCTTGCAATGTTTAATAATTCAAAATATACCACAGCTGAATTTTGAAAACAACTCCTGGCTCATCCCATTCTAAATATTCCTCTAAAAACTCCCAAGGCTTCCTTCCTTAGAAATTTTATATGTACAGATAAAACTTGAAAAATTAGAATATCATGCAAAAGTTCGTTTATTTTAGTAATGCAACTTTTGCATGATATTCTAATTTTTCGAGTTTCACCTGTATAATAAAGGAATAAATAGCTACTAGTTATAAACTGTTTATTACTTCAAATATTGAAGATCTTACTTGTTTTTAATAAGTATACCCATGTATTACAGTACTTACAGGCTTGATGCAAATATTGTAGGCCTCTAATTCACTGATGTAAAGAGTGGACAAAGGACAAGATAGGCCTCTAAATTGATAAATCATGTTTGGAAGTAATCTTTGAATATAAACTGCAGAAGATGTATTGAGAAATATTATTCTGGATCGCTAAATGAAAGCAAAATTTTTAGAGAATCTGCTTTCCTCATTTGCTGAAATCTAAGATGAAGAATTCTTCTTTCTTAAGGGCCATGTATCATTCAGTCCTACTATTGAACAACAACGAACCTGTGACAATTGTACAACCACTCTGCTACAAGGAGATTTTGTCATTAAGTATGACGTGAACAGAGATTCTCCTAATAATTTACAGGTAACTCTAGTTCTTTGACACTTGAACTAATATACCAGCACAAAAACACACCCAAACAAAAAACCCTACCACAAATGAATACTATCTTTATCAATGTTTTTTAGGTAGTAAATGGATACTTTGTACACTTTTTTGCACCAAAAATCTTGGAACGTTTACCAAAGAATGTTGCCTTTGTAATCGATGTCAGTGGTTCCATGTCCGGACAGAAAATTCAGCAAGTAAGTAAACAACACAAATTCTTGGAATATCGCTAAAAGGATGGCAAATTGTACAGCAGATAAAAATCAGATCATACAATCTTTTGCACCAAGTTATTTTTGCCTTGCAAGATTTACACATATAGTAAAATATGTAGCATAGTAATCTTGAAAGTATTTAGTAATGTAATTGAAATGTACTGCTTCATCCTTAACTTTCAGCTAAGCCTTCTTTTATATGTGTTGACTTAGGCCAGGGCCCCCCAACCCCTGGACCGCGGCCTGTTCAGAACTGGGCTGCACAAGTGGCGAGCAAGGGCACACATGTACATGCAGCTCTATTGACATGAGTGGCAGGTGCTTGGTTCATGCTTGAAGCTCCACTCATACAAATGGAGCTGTGCGCGCTCGTATGCGTGTACCTGCCACTCACTCAGAACTATCATGTTTCCCCGCAACTTCTGCCGGGCCACCAAGCCAGAAAGGTTGGGGATCACTGATTTAGGCCATATATTTACTTAGCTTCAAAGTCATACAGAACATTCTTTCAGGTGGCTCCTGCAGAAATAAAACACTTGAGCATTGGAATGAAATGTGAGATATTGGGAAGCTTGACAATTACATTGCCAACTGGTTTATTCAGCTTTACAATTAGGGTGAGGACCCAAGCAGTGAAAGTGAATAAGGAAGCAGTTCGAGGAAGCAGTTTGATTTTGAATTGATTAGTTTGAGTTAAGCCATGAATCAATCTGTTTATGAACTATATCAAGAGTAAAAAAATTATTAAAAATAAACAGCTAAATAACAGTAATATTTTTTAAAAAGACGAACATGTTTTAAGAGCTTTGGTGGCACAGCGGTTAGAGTGTAATACTGCAAACTACTTCTGCTGACAGCCAGTTGCCTGCAAATTGGCAGATCGAATCCCACCAGGCTCAAGGTTGACTCAGCCTTCCATCCTTCTAAAGTGGGTAAAATGAGGACCCAGATTGTTGGAGGCAATATGCTGACTCTATAAACTGCTTAGAGAAGGCTGTAAAGCCCTATAAAGTGGTTTATAAGTCTAAGTGCTATTGCTATGTTACGAAATTATCATTTAAAAAAAATCTTAGCTATTTTTCTCATAAGATTTCATGCTATCTCAAACATCCTACAATTTCATGGGAGAAAGGCAAAATCTCATACAAGTCAGAAAAGACAGTCAATTTTTATTTATGAAAAATACATATTAAATTTAATACTAATGATTCAGGGATGATAGTGTAGAGCCTGACTGCTGCACAATTTCACTAATTTTTTGACCATGGTTAGGAAACAATGGAGTGTTGGCTTAGTATGGAGATCTACCTTTCAAAAAAAAGGGTAGGGTTTTTTTCCTCAGTAATCATTTGACTTTACAGGTAAACAATTGAAGATCTCAAGCAAACAAATATAAAAGGATTTGTATGCATCATATGATGTGGGTAGCAAAAGCAGGACATGGACATAATAAGTTTGTAGCAATGTAATGTGCTGGTATAGAGAGCTCACTCAGTTGAAAGGAACGCAGGGTGGAGTAACCCCTGGAATAGCGAGATTGGGTTATGGAGGAGAAGTCCTTTGTTGAGAATTGATACTTTTTTAAAAATAATTCTAGGCAAAGGAAGCCTTGACAAAAATAGTGGAAGACTTAAAAGAAGAAGATCACTTCAACATCATCCTGTTTCAAAGTTCAGTTTCAACATGGAAAGATAACTTAATCCAAGCTACTCCAGAGAATGTGAATCAATCAAAGGAATTTATTCAACAAATAAATGCGTGGGGAGGTAAATAGAAAAAAAAAGAAAAATTGCTATATTAGAATAAAGTTAAAATAAAATGGCTGTATTTAAAAACACCACATTAAAAAGATTTGAATCTCCATTTTCATATGCTAAAAAAATTGAAACCCCACTTTCACATTCTAGGAACAAATTATAATGATGGTTTACTGACTGGTATTGAAATGCTGAATAAAGCTTATGAATCGAAATCTGTACCTGAAAGAAGTGCCTCTTTAGTTATCATGTTATCTGATGGGGAGGCCAATACGGGTAAGTAGCTGAATGACCGATGAACATGGAAATAAAGATTGCTGTTCAGTCTCCTTGTTTTCACATAGTCTTCTCCATACTATATACCACAACCACTGGTGATCGTGTCATTACAGAAGTCCTGGGAGAAGCTCCCAGAAATACTCCAACATAACTGCTAAACTTCTGAAGCTGCTCTTGATTGATTGTCTATCACCAGTTTCAGAATATTTCGACATGGGGAAGGGGAGGGGGTTACAATACAATACATCTAATAAATAATGTTTTTACCTTGGAAAAGGCAGTAAGGAAGGAAAAAGGAATCAAATTACAACACTACTCACTCTCTTTCAACCCATTAGGAGGAGAGTTTGAAGCTGAAAGATAGGAAGCTGCAGAGCCTTGTATTAAAGTTACAGGATTGCTGTGCCCACAAACACGTTTCAGATCATTGCACTATTTAACTGTGTTTTGTGATCCTTTCTGTGCAGGTGTAACAAATCCCATACAGATTCAAGAAAATGCTAAGAATGCAACTAAAGGAAAATATCCTATATACAATCTTGGGTTTGGTTATGATGTCGACTATGCATTTTTAGAGAGAATAGCAACAGAAAACAATGGTTTGGCTCGCCGCATCTTTGTTGACTCAGATGCAACCTTACAACTACAGGTAGAAGAATAAGCATATGAAAGGTTGATATTTATATTTATGAAAAAATATTTCTGTGGCAGAGAAAGGGCACTGAGTAAACCATATGGTAACAACACTACCCTTACTTGGATTCAGACATGAGGAAAAAAACACATATGTGTTCTCCTCTCCTCCCATTTATCCCAATTTCCTATGTTTGCCATCTGAAAACTGCAGGAATTATACTCCAAATGAAATTTAGTAACAGCTTCTGTTGGTCATAAAATTTATTGATTCTCCAACAGAGCAGCATAGTGGCCTAGCAGTGAAGACACTCACCTGCCACTTGGAAGGTTTAGGGTTCAATTCGCGGTAGCGGCAGATGTTTCTCGCCCAAAGAAAAATATCGCTGCAAACTCCACTTAGGCATCAGGAAGGGCGATCAGCCAGAAAATGCTCACCTCTACCCAGTCACCTTGGCTCTACTCTGAATTAAAGGACTACTGGGTCATAAAAAGAAAACACTATTGATTCTACAACAAAAAAAGCCGTTTGTGTGTCATGGCTACCAAAAGTTAGAAATGTGTGCCATAGCCTCTCACTGATACAAGATCTGCTGCCAGCTAGTATTCTGCTCCACACTGTTTAGAGGTGAGCCTTTGGCTCAATTCTTAGCCCAGATGACATGGAAAGACAAAATTAAGAGAACGTAATTCAGCTTTTTCCAATCTGGTGCCTACAGTATAATAATATTGTTACGATTCCTGCCTCCCTTCCTTTCATTATTCCTTTCAGTTACAAAAGGCCATGAAGGATATAATATCTCATCCCATCCTCAAGGAAAGGCGTATAGCATCTGAAAGTAACCAAGAGAGATTAGCATATATGTCCCCCTCACATTGTGGCAATCAACTCAGAATATGTTTACATACCATGAAACATAGTGAGAAAATATAGGAATCCATTGTAAATAATAAGGTTCATCATCTCATTGGTTAATTTTCTAAGGTAGCCCTCTCACTCTACCTAACAGGTAAGGCATCACAGGGACCAGGTGCATCTTTTTCTGTATTTTTTGGTTAGATCCTGACCCCAGCTACCATTTTCCCTTGTTGCTGGCCTGTTGCAAAAGAATCAGCACAGCCCAGTGGGATGAAACTTTATCCCTTCGCGGGCAACTAACTACTATTAGCCGTGGTGGTGTAATGGTTAGAACATGGTACTGCAGGCTACTTCTCCTGACTGCCAGCTGCTGGCAGTTAGGCAGTTCGTTTCCCATTGGCTTAAGGTTGACTCAGCCTTCCATCCTTCTGAAGTTGGTAAAACGAGGACCCAGATTGTTGGTGGCAATAGGCTGACTCTGTAAACTGCTTAGAGAAGGGCTGTAAAGCATTGTGAAGAAATATACAAATCTAAGTGCTATTGCTTTTTCATTCAATATCATACTTCATATTTTCCTGGCAAAAATTAATTAAAAAGTGAGAGGCTGGGTAAAAAAGCAAGAAAAAGTGGTTTGTTTAGTTTCTGTGTCCTATTAGAAATGTTAGTTCTTCCTTTGAAAAAGCTGCTCACATCAGGAAAATTTACCTCATGAGAGCCTACATCAGGGAATTTATATGATGAATGAAAGTAGACCTTTTAATTTTTTTAAAAAGGGATTGTCTAGCAATCGATGGTTTTGCAAAATAGGAAAAGATGTCTAGAAAGGCTTTGTGTTAGTAAAAATTGTGAATGAAAAGAATTACACCTTTTCCTGTGATTAAAAAGAATTAAAACTCATCTGAAAATTGTTTTATTAACATGTACAGTGAAATAGTCCTAATTTTTGTACTGCACATGTTTAATGTTATTGCAACATCTAAACTCACATGGTTAATCCTCCATTTCATGGCGTCCACATTTTCTATATCTATACAAAATTGTAGATGTCAATTTTGGGAAAGATTTTTTAAGAGTCAAGACTGTTGTCAAGAGTCAAGAGTAAGAGTCAAGAAGTCTGTTTTCCAGAGTACTTTTCCAGGGTCGTCTAGATTCTGATAACAGAAAAGTTGTTGTTGTTTTTAGTTGCGAAGTCATGTCTGACTCATTGCGACCCCATGAACAACGTTCCTCCAGGCCTTCCTGTCCTCCACCATCTTCTGGAGTCTGTTTAAGCTCACACCGACTGCTTCAGTGATTCCATCCAGCCACCTCATTCTCTGTTGTCCCATTCTTCTTTTGCCCTCAATCATTCCCAGCATTAGGCTCTTCTAAAGTGAGTCCTTCCTTCTCACTAGGAGGCCAAAGTCTTTGAAGTTCATCTTCAGGATCTTTCTTTCTAAAGAGCAGTCAGGGTTGGTCTCTAGGACTGACCAGTTTGATCGCCTTGCAGTCCAAGGGACTCGCAGGAGTCTTCTCCAGAAGCATAGTTCAAAAGCCTCAATTGTTTGGCACTCAGTCTTTCTTATGGTCCAACTTTCACAGCCATACATTGCAACTGGGAAAACCATAGCCTTGACTATACGTACTTTTGTTGGTAGGATTATGGCTCTGCTTTTTTAATATGATTTTTTTACAATATGATTTTTAGTATGATTTTTACAGAAAAGTACCATGCCTAAAAAAGGTAACCTCTCATTTGCAATATTTTGATTTCAAGAATAAATACCCTAATATCTATTTTATTCCCAGGGTTTTTATGATGAAGTAGCCAATCCTTTGCTTACTGAAGTGGAGTTAGGCTATAAGGAAAATGCCATCTCAGATTTGACTCAAAATAGTTTTAAACATTATTATGATGGCTCTGAAATAGTTGTGGCTGGACGAATTACAGACAATGACCTGAACAGTATCACAGCAGAAGTAAAAGCTCAAGGGGTAAGTATCTTTGAAGTCCAACATTCCTCAAGATATTACCATGGGATTCCAGTTTCTATAACAAAAAAAATATTCACACTTCCAGAACAATAATTTTCTGAACACTGCTGAGAGAGTAGATACTCCAGGGAAAATCATTAGGTAGTTTACCTGCCTCTGTCAACGTTCCAGAATCTTGAAAATTTTTATTTTGGAAATGGTTTCTATTTATATTATTTTTAGAGACAGGCCAGCACCCAGATTACTGGTATATTGGCTAATTATTTCACTTAATACCTAGCCAAACTGAATTTATACTGCCAAGCCATATCCAAGCCATCCATCCACATTTAAACATCAGCTTCACCTTCATAAGACTCACACAAAGCCTTTTCAGGCATGAGACATCAATATTATCACTAGTTTACATGGATGAAGGCTATGTGGTCATGTTGAACCTGGGTGACAAATAAAGCATCATTCACTCAACAAGATATTAGAAGGGAACTAATGGCACCTTTTCCACCTAACCAATGTTATTCAGAGACAGTTTTTTCTGAGTTGCAGCACACTTCATCAGATGCATTGAGTCGCTAGGCTGGTGTAAGATTTAATTTGAGATTTGGCAGGGAGGGGAAAATTGGTATTTATTTCTGTATTATTAAATATAGTTATATAGTGATTACATAGCACCCCAGCTTGTACCAAACTCAAACCAAGAGACAAAAATACATTTATGTAGAGTAAAAATATTAAAACCAAAATATAAGTCCCTTACAAAACAGTACAGGTATCTTCTCAGTTAATAATTTCAATGTGTTAGAAATCCATGGGGTTTATTTAGATCTTTAAAGACTGTCTAAATTTTTTGATACATTTGAGTTCAGCCATCTGTTGTTCAATGTACATAGATATAGAAATAAACACCTGTATAAAAGTGTACTGCTGAAAAATTATAGTGGAATTATAAATCCAATCCTTTTCTTTCATCTAGGCACTAAATGAGGTGACTTATAGTGAACAAGCCGATGTTGAGGAAACAACCAAAGCTCTTGAAGAGCAGCAATACATATTTGGAGAATATATTGAGAAATTGTGGGCTTATCTCACCATTCAGCAACTCCTAGACGCACGGTAATGTAGGACTTTTTCAACTTTGTGGTTACTCTAGAGAAGTCCATGAAGACTGGTATAGTCAATCACTTTCCATCCCTTTCTTGAGAAAGATTATTATTCTTGAGAAAGGGAAAATTAGTTTCATTCAATAATGCCTGGAATGGATTGGTAGCTATTCATCATTGTTGGCCTGTAGTTGATTTGATCTCTTAGCCCAAGTTAAATTGCTTCAGATAATGCAAGATAATTATTGCAGGTCTTCTAACTTCACATTAGAGTTTGATAAGTTTAGCTTTAAGTGTCAGTTATCTCTTTCTTCTTTCAGGAGACAAGTCTTTTGTTTCCAAAGTGTTCATGAGGCTTATATCCTATTTACTTTATTATTTAGAACAATGTTTTTTGTATTACAGGATGGAAGAATACTGAATAATTAGTATTATCATGGTTAAAACAGTTTCTAAATGCTTCTCCAATGTCCTTGCTTTTAGTGCTGTAGCGCAGGGAGATGAAAAGGAAAATATTACTGCTAAAGCTCTGGAGTTGTCTCTGAAATATAACTTTGTGACTCCATTAACATCCATGGTTGTCACAAAGCCAGAAGACAATGAAGAAAAGGAATCAGTTGCTGACAAACCCACAGAAGGTACAGATATTGTCATAAGGATATTAATCTATCTGGCTTTTAGTAGTTTGGGGGCAATATTCAAAATATTAACAATTGAACTAGTCGAGAATATCCCGGAGCAACAGGTAGTATGCTTTCCCCTTAGATCAGGATAGGAAAGCATGAATTTTGTGGTGTGTGCTTTTCAGCAACATCTGCAAACAGGCCAAGGGGGGATCGGATTGATGTCAGCAGCATCATGGCAAGCTCCACCTCTTTTCTACATGCATTTTGACATTACATGTATTCCCCAAAGGAGAAGAACTTAAAAAGAACAATCTCACAATATGGCTTTTGTCATCTTTTCTTCTTATTTTTTACATTTTAACGTAACTGTTGTAGTTGAGCAATGAGAGGCTGAACCAGGGCATGGATGCAACAATACTTTATTAGAATAATAAAGGACTGAACGTGCTTGCCAAGCCTGGAACTGGCTCGCAGCGATCAGCGACTGGTTGAACCCCGCAGCCTGCTTTTATAGCCGGCTGCTGGGGGAAGCCAGCCAATGAGGGACAGCAAACGCCCCCGCAGCGTGAGCGGACCTGGGTGGGAACTCTTGCAAGTTCCAGGGACATAACAGTAACTATTTTCAAAACACAGGTAAAAATTTAAAAAACCAAACAAACAGTAGAAATGAGATTTGTAGCAATCTCCTGCTAGAGCAATGTTTCTCAATCTTGGCATCTTTAAGATGTGGGGGGGTTCAAATGCCAGAATTCTCCAACCTGTTGCTAAGATTGAGAAACGTGCATTAAAACTAGTTATTTCAGCCATGGCAACTTTAAGATCTGTGGACTTCATTGATGGCTGGGGAATTCTGGGAGCTGAAGTCCACAGGTCTGAAAGTGGCCAAGGTTGAACACCCCAGCTCTAGAACAACTATGGGTTCCACTAAGCTTAGCTGCTCACTTCACCATAGTTGTTCTTTTAGTTGATCCCTTCCTTCTCAAAAGCCTCATAACTTTTGTCCTGTTGTAGCATGAAGCTACAATTGAAATTAACATTGAAATTAAATAATTGGAATCTGAAATCTATCATCCCTATCAGAAGAAGATTATCTCTGGAAGAATTAAAGGAAATAAAGTCTTGATGGTGATGCTTTGCTAAATAACTGCATGACATGAATCAATGGAGGAAGGGAAGTGAGAGATTTTATGTATAAATTATATTTTGTAATGTGAGTAATTAGAGAAGACTATATTTTGTAATATGAGTAATTAGACAAGCCCTTTTAAAAGAAAGTAGCTGTTTACTTGAATTACTTTTTAGAAAAAATAAAAATAGCTGTCTAGAGACATGTAATTGACATTGTGTGCAGTGCACCCTCCAGTCTATCCTTATTGAAATAGGTCAACTATAATTTTTTGCAATCAAACCAGTTTAGCAAAAAAAAATTAATGTTTCTTTTTCTCTCTCCCTCCCTCCCTCCATCTTTTATCATCTTTGGAAACAGCTGAAGGTAAAGTGAATTGTAATTCTTTGCCTTTCTTCTATATGAATATGAGCATATTATAAAGGTATTCTTTGAATGATGAGTTCCAGATCTAATTGAAAAGAAGCAAATAAAGCAATAATAACTCAATGGTGTTTTAAATAAGTTTAGCTCAGATCTCATATCTTCCAATCCTATTGGTTAGGTCTCTCCCTCCCCCCCTTCACCCTTGGAAACAGCTGAAGGTAAGTTCCGTTCTAATTCTTTCCCTCATATTTCATATCTTGCCATTCCATCGGTCGGGTTTAATGGAGTTTATTTTAGTTCCTTCTTTTTCTATCTGTTTAAGATGAAATGTATACATTTTCACAATGGAGTGTAATTTAAATATACCCTGTGCTTTTAAAGAAAGGTGTATGCCATATTTTCCATTTATTGACTCAGAGCAATTTGCTAAATATATAGGTTTGATTATATAAAATTTAAGGTACTAGCCTAATTTTCTGAAATTTATTGTACAACTTGGTTGATTATAAGCAAAGTTTCATTTGAATCTTGTCCACCATGCTTGTGCAAATGAGAATTGCCTTACATCCAGGAAGGTCATATCCACATTTAATAAAAACAACAACCAAGTATTCAAAGGAATTGTATTACAGACAATGCTGGGAGCAAATTTGGACTGTTTGCTTCAACAGACCCATGGTAAAAGTAAAAATGAGCCATAGTTGATCTGGCATTCTGACTTCAGTCTGAAACCTCTGCCTACATGTTTCATTGTTTTTGTTTAGTTTTTATAGTGTCTGTCTGTGTGTGTGTGTTTTCACTATAAAATACACACACACACACACACAGAGAGAGAGAGAGAGAGAGAGAGAGAGAGAGAGAGAGAGAGAGAGAGAGCAGGTTGGTGCTTTTTACAGAGATGTTTAACTCCTGCAGCACTTCCTGGAATGACCACTGTAGTAATGTGGCAATTATGGGTAAGGAAGGGTTTGATGCTGCAGTGATGTGTAGAAGCTTCTTAAGTGATAAAGAAAATTAGGGAAATATTCCTTACAACTTTGTACAATGAATGAGGTAATTCCAATCCATCAATAAATTACAGGTAGATAATCCATTGCCCAAGGTCACAGGTAGTCCTCAATTTTTTTGCTTGCTTATGAACAAAGCATCTTACCGTAATTGCCAAACAGTGGAAAGAAGCGATCTTCCATTATTTTGAGGCATAAAATACATTGAAATCTGTGCAGGGTAAACCTTAATTAGGTACAATTCCCGAAGCACTATACTCAGACCAAGAAAAAAAAAAAATCTCAGCCCATGAATGTGCAAGATAATAGGCACAGAGATTTCATTCCATTACTTGGTTTCCCCGATTGTCCCTTTCTTCCTTCAAATGTTATGTAATCCTTGCCTCCCCCCAAATATTGCCTTTCCGTGCCCCAAATGTGAACCTGGCCTTCAAAGCTTTTATTGAAATGGAGCAGAATGTTAACTGATATCCTTACAATCACAACATCTGGAAACAATCGTTTTATTTTGTTTTTCTTTTCTTTTATGCAGGAAAGCAACAAGTGTCCAGCTATCAACCTCCATCTGCCCCTTACTATTATTCTAGTGGTAAGTTTCTTTTTTAGAGTTCATAAATATCTAACATACACACACCATACATACATACATACAGATATACAAAGAGTGATTGATATCAATAAGAAGAAGGGGAAAAAAGTAAGGAAAAAATAAATCTTTCTGAGGTCCTGGAGAGTGAATCCATGAAGTCAAGGCAACAAAAGGGTTTCAGGTCTTCCTGTTTGAGACAGACCCTCCAATTGTTGGAAGTGGACTGGAACATCTCATGCCGTACCTTAAAATGGGAGACACTTCAAGGAATGGATCATGTCTCATGCAATTGTTGTTGCCTATGAAAGACAAAGACCTTATTTTTTTCTCACTCCCTCAATCATCAACTAGAGATGATTACGGAACAATTTCCAATGTTGGATTAAGACTAAGACCCATGTTACAATAATATTACCCTGAATGTTCTTTCTACTGTAAGGGCACTACAGAAATATACTAAATAGAAACTCTGTATCTTTCTATACTTTTTATTCTTATATTCTTCTATTTCATTTTAAATGGTGCACAAAGAGATCACAAAAATAAAATGACCCACTGATGGAAGCATGATTTTGGTGTAATTTCTTCTTTGCAGTTGATGGAGACCCACACTTTATCATAGCTGTACCCCAGAAAGAAGATGCCCTTTGTTTCAATATTAATGAGGAGCCAGGGGTGGTGTTAAATTTGATAAGAGATCCAGTTACAGGTGAGCTTTTCTTTCTTAAACTGTGATTTTAAGTAAGAAAGGTATTGCGCTGCTAGATCAGTTCATTGTCTATCTAATTCCATTTGATTTCTTTGAAGTCTGTTTCCTTTGGTTAAAGAATACGCAGATAACATGTAAATTCTTACATGTATAACTCTGTTAGCCTTCCATAAAGCTTTAAAGACCTGTCAATATTCCCATGCCTGGGGCGCTATATGCACCAAGGCCCCTGCTTCCTAGCTATATTGTTAACAAGCCCGATATCTTGTTTTTTCATGTACTTTGAATTAGACGTTTTAATGTAGTTTATTGTTTTAACAGTTTTTACAGTTTTTATTATTTTAAAAGCTTTAAGATTTTAATTGCAATGTATGTTTTTGAATTGTGAGCTGCCCAGAGTCATTGTCTGAGCTGGGTAGCTACAGAAATCAAATAAATAAATTTTAGCTTGAATCAATCCCAGTTTAACAAAAAAATATATTATGGAAAATGTTCTGCCTCCTGGAAACCAGGAAAAGACATATTTTAAAAATATGTTACTTATACGTATGCCATCCCCTTAACATCACTTCTGGACTTTAGGCATGACCGTCAATGGACAGCTTATTGGAGATAAAAAGAGCATCAACGATGTAAGACCACAGAATACATATTTTGGAAAACTTGGGATTGTAACCACAAATCGGAATGTAAGGCTTGAAATAACAACTCAAAATATCATCCTGCAAATTGGTGTAAAAAGGAGAGTATTCAGTTGGCTTGATGAAGTTGCCTTACAACAACCTGGGTGAGCTTTTCATACCCCTAATATATAAAAAGTGTTATTCTTAAATCAGGGATGGGTGATTTAAAGCTTTTGTAATTTTGCACATTATCTTGGTCTATTCCAAAAGCCTAAGACAAAGTACCAGATCAGGTTTCTGACAGGTTATCCTTATTTCTTGGCAGAATGCAGTGAGAGAAAAAAGTATGTCAGAAAGAATAGCTTTTTCCCACCCACTTTCTCTGCTCTTAATCTCTTCTTGCTTCAACTCGATTAACAATGCATTCCCCCAACAGACCAACCCTGAAAGAAGGTGACCATCACAAGGAAACAAGTTTGCCCATCCCAAATATAAACAAAGTGGGATAGATTTAAATAAATCCAGCTACAGAGAAAGGCAACACGCTATAACTTCCTTTGCAAATATGAGGCTTGGTTGATAAAAATTAATGTTTTTATAAGGTTTTTAATTTTTTTTATAAAAATTAACTGCAACCTTCATAAATATGAGTCAGTTGCCAAATGTCTGAATTTTGATCACATGACCCTAGGGATTCTGCAACAGTTATGTGTCGTAAATTGCTTTTTCAGTAACTTCAGTTCCTAAATGATTGGTAATCATAATGTAATCAGAGCAATTGTTTCAGGTGAGTGGTTTATTTGCATTGCTCTACTTCAGCCTGCTTCATTGGTGAATGAATGGATAGCTTCACCATTTAATAAGGTTGAGGGCCAGATTTGATAGGCTGTGGTAGAATTTAATGCTAGGCTTCATTTAAACGATAGCTGTGTGCTTACAGATGCTTTCTGCAGAAATGATTCTCCCTTTGCAACCAATTTCCCTAATTTGAATCTCTGCATTATGCAAACTAATAATCATGTTTTCCTGCTTGGTTTCTCTTTTCCCACTTAGTTTGACACTAATAATCAAACAAAAACGGAGCGTAGAGGTTTCAATGGATAATGGAGCAACATTCGTTGTTGTTCTACACCAAGTGTGGAAGAAACATCCATTACACCAAAGTTTCCTGGGATTTTACATGGCGGATAGTCACAGATTATCTGAACAAACCCATGGTTTACTAGGTAACAAAAATATATTATTCTAAGGATGTTTTTGTTTTATTTTGTTTTGTTTTTTCCACTGCTTTTCTTTCATAAGGCATATAGTCTTCTGATGAGGCATGAGGTTAAACTCCTGACTGACTTGGCATAAGATTAAACTGGTTTGGCATTGACTTGGCATGAGATTTAAAAGGTGGCAATATTAACATCCCAAATTAACTGGAAACAGTTTTCTAGACAATTGGCATAGACAGTTTCAAAGTTAATGTTTTGGTTATCCCAGGTTTACTCCTTTGCTGTACAGAATAGAGATGAAAGATGGAATCACCAATTTATTCCTTCTCTTTTCTGGACCTTGAAAGAAAAAACCTTGATGTACGGGGATAATGTAGCAAATTCCTTTGCTTTTCTCCCTGATTAGGTTTCTTCTTTAAAGAAACCCAACAACCTATGAAGCCATGAAGACCCATCAAGAGCCATTGTACAGGAGCTGTACACAATAGTGGGGAGAACCAGAACCTTAATTTTCGAGAGCCATTTTATCTTATCTGTAGCTTGTTGTCTCATATGCAAACATTCATACACAAAGCTCAAGCAATTTCCAAAGCAGTCTTTTGGATCATCCAAACAGGCTTATTTTAAATTTGAATTTTAGTGCCCCATTACCAATCCCAATGGTATTTTTTGTGACCCATATAAGGGAAGTTCTCTGACAGCAGGACTGTATCCAACATTTCTGTATAAGTAAAAAAATAGAATTAGGACCTCAATAAAGTAGCTATAAAAGTAGTTACATGCAACTTATAGCCACAATTAGCCCTGCCGAATGCAACATGTAGCTCTTATGGTTTGCTCTTGAATGACTGACAACTATTTAATCAAGTTCCTATTTTGCTCCCAATTTCTTAAATTGGAAATGAGACAGATGTAAATGGAGAAATGGACAAAAGATATAAAAATATTTTTCTTTAAAGCAAGATTAAATATATAAAACAGAATTAAGATGAGGCAAAAGTGGAGAGGAGTTATATAATAGATATAGAATGGTAAATAAGATGGGTAATGGTATATAAGAAGAGCATGAATTCAATTGAAGTCCATACAAAAAGAGGTAATCTGGGGCCAAGTTACTTTCTAGAAGAAAGTTTTATGTTTTTATGTCTATGTCTTATGTGTGTGTGTTTAATTAAGAATTAAATAATAAAATCTCGGAGGAAGACTAGATGAGAATAATTATAAACAAGCCAGAGGAAAATATAAATTTGATGACTGAATAGCAGATAAATCAGAAAGGAAATATGATTGAATAATGATTAAAGAGAAACAATGTGGAATTTGGTAAAGGGAATTTATGTGTTTATATGGAAATGGGATAAATTATAAGTACGTGATATAAAGCAATATGTTACCTGCCTTGTAAAGATCTACAATGGAAAGAGGTTTTATGTTTTTAATGTTTAATGATGTTTTGTTTTGTTTGTTTGTTTGTAAAATCAATAAAACTTGTTTAAAAAAAAAGTAGTTACATGCAACTTATAGCCACAATTAGCCCTGGCGAATGCAACATGTAGCTCTTATGGTTTGCTCTTGAATGACTGACAACTATTTAATCAAGTTCCTATTTTGCTCCCAAATGACTGGCAACTGTTTAATAATTACTGCTGCTGCTGTCATGTTTATTTTAAGGGCAATTTTTCCACCCAATCGACTTTGATATACTTGAGGTCCACCCTGGATCAGATCCACAAAAACCAGATGCCACCATGATTGTGAAAAATAACCAGTTGACAGTAACCAGGTAAAGAGAGCCTGACATTTTAGCTGAGATTGAAATGCTTGCATAAACTGGATGCTCTAAGCTCACTGCTTTCTGTGTTATATTGTAGGGGATGGCAGAAGGATTACACAGCTGATATCCAGCATGGCACCAATATCCCTTGCTGGTTTATTCACAACAATGGAGATGGTCTTATTGATGGCAATCACACAGACTACATTGTTCCCAGCATATTTTGAAATAAAAAATAAAAAAGAGTGGTGATGATGATGGTGGTGGTGATAATGATAAAAACTTACATGCTATGATAACTGCTTGTGATATCATCTGAAGAAATATTTTAATACTAGAGATTTAGTTGTGAATCCATATAATTGAAACTGATATATTCATAATACAATTTGTATATCTTCTGCTGAGATTTAATTTCAATAAATAGGAAAACTTTTTCATTTGCCCACTTATTTTCTACTCACTCCTGAGTGTCTCTAAGCAAGGTTATATAACTAAACATTAAATATGGATAACATATAAGTTAAAACATAAAAATCTCTCATCTCCAAAATGTCTGAATAAGACTGGGTCTAAATTTTAATTTTGTGTGTGTGTGAGAGAGAGAGAGTTCCAATAGCAATTTATTCTAAAGAAAATTCATCATTACAGGACAGTGGTGGGATTCAAAAATGTTTATTACTGGTTATGTGGGCATGGCTTGGTGGGCATGGCAGGGGAAGGACTGCAAAATCCATTCTCTCTCCACCCCACTAACCTGTTTTCCAGCTACATTCTCCTGTGCAGGGCAACAAAAGAAGACCCAGCCAATCAGCTTGGACTTGGGAGGCAGAGGGGCCAGTCAGAGGTGGTATTTGCCAGTTCACGGAACTACTCAAAATTTCCACTACGGGTTCTCCAGAACTGGTCAGAACCTGCTGAATACCACCTCTGTTACAGGAATAATATTAGTATGTAGAGATGCTTGAAACTTCAAACTTCTAGTTTCCAGGAAAGGAAAAATATTGGCAACTATCACCAACCCATTGATGACAACTGCACTAAATCCAGCTGCTTTAGATAGATATTAAATGATACAGTGAACAAGATGGAATCTTACCAGAGAAATAATAGCAGAACCACCATTAATTACCATTATGGGAAGAATCTAAGAGGTAAAATTTTTCACTTGTTCAGACTACAGTTAAGTTGATTTTTTTATTTATCCATACCCTGAAAGACTACTATACTTTGTTCTTTATGGATGCAGTTGTGGGGAGAATCCCATGTCTTATTTTAATATTCTTGGCATCTACCAAAAAAGAGTTTTGTTAAATAGCTGTTAGGAAAACTTGGCATCATAGAGAAAATGTGCTGAGATACTCAAAAAGCAGGACAGTATTTGATTTTAAGGCTGTGCTGGGGACAGAACAGAAAGGAGGAGATGTCTCTTTTTGCATAAACCTAGCAACCTTGTTCATGGTTGCAATAGCAAAAACTTTAATGTTACCTATAATAGGTATGAATAGATTTGTTATGGTTATGTGTGATATGCAACTAATTTTTTCTCTGCTCTCAGATATAATAGCTTTATTATGGAGAACGAGGAGGCCATAACTATGAAGAAGAACAGCAACATATGAGAAACTTGCAGGATGGCCAGGAGGGGAGATGAGGAGGCCATTGCAGTGTGTGTGTGTGTATGTAGCATACACACACACACACACACACACACGTATATGTATATGTATATAATATTGATGTTTCCTTTTCTGCAGGTGGCTATTACTGATTTTATATGTATCGATTTTAATGGACTTGTTTATCATCTGAAATAACTTGTCTTTGGATTTCAGGCTTAATACAGAGCCAAGGGTTTATGTTGGGCTAACAAATGATATTTGGAAGGTGGGGTGGGGTGGGGAGGGAAGAAGCCAAACAGTACAAATGAATGGACAAGGGGTGCATGTGCACTTACATCACAACACATACACGCATATCATGGATAGGAAAGATGCAATGCCACTCTCAGGAGGGAGATCATACTTTATTAAAATGATTGCTGGGTTTCAGCTTACAAGAAAAAGACAGAGAAAACAGTAGAAAAGATCATTTATTTTGTATTGTACAGCAAGCAACTTTATGAACAGAGAGCAAACCTGTAACTCACTGCCACTAATGACATTACATAGTCAGATAGTGAAACAATTGCAAGCAAAAAAGCTCAGACAGCACCAAGGTCTCTATAGTTCAACCTTGAGATAGACAGACAGACAGACAGACAGACAAATATTCTCTTGTATTGAAAAACAAAGGTAGTCCATTTCTTCCCTTCATTTTTCTCATAGATCTTTTAATCATTTCTGATTATTTGATACCATTGTAATTACTACATAAATTTCCTATTACCTTCTCTATTTAATCTATAAGACCCTCCCTTAATTATCAAGCTCTTTTCTCTACTTTGCACTTTGATAATATTTTGATATTTGATCATTTTAGAATGTGTCAGGAAAACATTTTGAGTTTTGAGATCTCTGTGCAGAATATGCTTCTCATACAAATACTGAAAAATAAAACAAAGGAATTCACAAATTATATATCCAATTTATTTTACTGAACTATTGCATGAAAAAGAAACAATTATTTAATAGACTATGAACTCCTTGCAGAGGGAGGGGAATATATTAAATAAATCTGTCAAACTGCTTAGCCATTATTACCAATCACAGCTTTTCATAAATTCGGATAAGATGATCAAAAGTACATCAAGACGACTATATTATTTTCTATGCTTATTACAAATATCCATGGAAACTAGCGATAGGTTTCCTAGAATACATTAGAAAATGATAAAACGACTAAAATCAATCCATGCTAAAATTCAGTGGTATCAGAACTGATTGGCAAAGGGAGGTCAGGTACCTGCAGTGCCATAGCAATCTGAACAAGCCACTCCACCACTTGAGACTCAGGAAGAAGTTGTCCTTTCCGCTCTTTCAGTTTATGATATAAGTCCCCTCCTTCACAGAAGCCCATGACAATGTACAGCAAGCCATCATCTCCTTCCCAGGACTCTCTATAGGTGATTATGTTTGGATGCTTCAGCTGTGACAATAGCTGGGCTTCCTGCTCTGCTGCTTTTCTCTCGCGGCTTGAGGCATGTTTAAGTTTCAGCCTTTTGATAACATACTGCACAAACAGAAAGAAGGTTTAATTTATTTTTTATTTTTAAAGAATATTACTGTAAATGAAAGAAATTTAAAGGTCAGTCACATGGGTCTGTTTTGTACAAATACTATTAAAACTACCACAAGAGTTATTTAAAATAAAAACCCTCCCACCTGCTAAAGCAACGTGTGTGAGAAAGGAGAGAGGGATGCAAGAAGCAAATCAACTTGGACCTTTTTAAAAAGCACAGCCCTCCATGTGCTCTCCAGAGGTAGCCTGACTGCCATTAGGTATCGAGATGAGATCCTCAGACCCCTTGTGAGACCATATGCTGGTGCAGTTGGTCTTGGGTTCCTCCTAATACAAGACAATACTAGACCTCATGTGGCTGGAGTGTGTCAGTAGTTCCTGCAAGATGAAGGCATTGATGCTATGGACTGGCCCGCCTGTTCTCCAGACCTGAATCCAATTGAGCACATCTGGGACATCATGTCTTGCTCCATCCACCAACACCACGTTGCACCACAGACTGTCCAGGAGTTGGGGGATGCTTTAGTCCAGGTCTGGGAGAAGATCACCCAGGAGACCATCTGTCACCTCATCAGGAGCATGCCCAGGCATTGTAAAGGTCATTCAGGCACGTGGAGGCAACACCCCCTCTGAGCCTCATTTTGACTTGTTTTAAGGACATTACATCAAAGGTAGATCAGCCTGCAGTGTTTTTTTTTTCACTTTAATTTTGAGTGTAACTCCAAATCCAGACCTCCATGGGTTGCTAAATTTGATTTCCATTTATAATTTTTGTGTGATTTTGTTGTCAGCACATTCAACTATGCAATGAAAAAAGCATTTAATAAGAATATTTCATTCATTCAAATCTAGGATGTCTTATTTTTATGTTCCGTTTATTTTTTTGAGCAGTGTAGTTTTGATTATAGCTTAGCCAACACACATTTGTGTACTCCAGCTGGCTTTAGAAATCACGTCCTTTCACCTGAAAAAAACACCTGGAACAGCTTTATCTCACAACCCATTCTAGCATGTCACTTTCTCCTTGTTTACAATCCTCCAGAGTTGAAGATCAGCAACTGTTGATTGTTCAGGATTCTAAAGAAGCTTAACTTTCAAATTACAGAGAGGGGCAAAGAAGCTGAAAACAGATTAGTGGAATTCAGCTGGATAGTATTTCCTATTTTCCTCCACACAGCTTTAATCTTTGCAATATGCTATACTACTACTTTTAATTATATCAAGTGAAGAAAGAAAATTGCCAAATGAAGTTCAATCTAAACTGTATCTCAGAAATCAGTGTATTACTATTATCTTTGTCATCTTTCCTATTACCGTTTGCTATAGGTATCTTATAATTATATTACTTTGTTGTTGTTATGTTTACTGAGTGCTTATGCACTGGAGACAAATTCCTTGTGTGTCCCATCACACTTGGTCAATAAAGAATAAAGATTATTGTATGTTACGCATTAGCTACTGCAGTACAAAACAAAGAAGGCAAAAGAATAAAAATTTTCTTTTAAAGAAAAGGCAAAGTGAAATCCAATAAAGGAATAATAGATTTACATAAAGTGTGCACTTAGCAATAGCACTTAGACTTATATACAACTTCACAGTGCTTTACAGCCCTCTCTAAGCATTGTACAGAATCAGCATATTGCCCCCAACAACCTGGGTCCTCATTTTACTGATCTTGGAAGGCCTAAAGGCTGAGTCAAGCTTGAGCTGGTGAGAACTGAACTGCCGAATTGCAAAAGTAAGCAGAAGTAGTTTGCAGTACTGCATTCAAACCACTGCACCACCACGGCTCTTGTGGTAGTGTCACCCGATCCTGTTTCCAGAGTCTTCAATGCAGCAGTAGAAATGTCTCTAAGCAATCCCTGTCAGTTCACTTGACAGCCATAGTGCTCACACATAGTGCACTCACAATTCCAAATTATCACTAGCCAGAAAGGTTAAAGAGACATCTGTCCTAATTTACATGCATAAAAACATAATGACTTTAATTGAAATAGAAGTCTCCAGTGGGAAATATATCCAGGTGATCAAAGTGCTACTTCAAAAAATCTCAAGATTTCTGACCCAATTGGTGAAACAGATGTGAAGTTAATTTGGGATTTAATTTTAAAGGTGTTCTATATAAGGCATAGTGGGTAAATTTGAGCTTTTCTGGCCTTGGACTCTCTAACTTTCATGAGGAAATTTCATCAACTATTTTCCAAAGATAAATATTTGTCATAGTTACTTCAGTGTTATTCTTTGACGATTTACAAGGTTCATAC